TTTATTACAATACTAGTGTTGTAGCGAATTTCATTCAGCATTTGTTTCCCACATAATAACGTTTAGAAAAATGTTCACAGTTGTGAAATATATTTATGTAACATTTATTTAGTTATTCTACGAAAGTAGATAAAATTTCGAATAAGATTTGTATTGTAAATGTATATTGGGACACTCAAGGTTGCCTCAAACTCTGTTAGCTCCTTGTTTGACAAAAACATGTCGTTTTAAGTGATTACTAAAAATGAATCTTTGCAACGCTTGTATGTCAAATAAAAATACCTAAAAAATATTTTACATTATATTCGGCCAAAGAAGAAAACAAAATATTTTGTAAAACAGATATATCTATTATATCCAACTCTTACTATTAAAAGTATAAATATCTCCTTCCCATCTTGAAAAAATTTCCGCCGGCTTTCGCCCAAGAGGAAAATTCAGCTGGCTGGTTCCACTGGTTCGGTTGCACAAATATAGAAGGAATATTTTGCTGTAAAAGAGCATGCACTTTTGGAAGCCCACGAAATTCTCTTGAAAGAAGCCTAAGTTTTGAACCAAACGTATCATCTGTTTACTAGGTAACTTCCGTAGAATCGAAGAAAGTTAATCAAAAAATTGCCCTGTTTATCGTGGCATCTAGTGCCATTTTGGCGCATCGGTATAACAAATACTTGAAGATTATTCCAAATCCGATCTATGTGCAATTTTAAACCTAGATAGCCATCTTTAGTTACTCGTCAGGCGCATTTATAAATTTCCATTCAGCCCATCCAGCGCTGGTTTTCCAGTTCCAAATTGAAGTTTTAACAATTAAACTCAAGGGTAGGCAATAAAGTTTTTTTAATTACCCTCTATATTACGAGCATCGTCAGTTTATAGTCTATTATGTTCGGGAGTTTAGCGGAACAGATTTATTTTTTTCGGTTCGCCCTCATTGTTTTTCTCTCAAGGGTTTTAAGCCCCTTAACTGATTTAGCTTTAAAAACGTCATGAATGTCTCTTAATTAAGATGGTTCGCTTTAATTATTGCTGTTGCTGAATGTGCTGCCGGCTTGTTGTAGCGTCATTAATTTGCATAAATTTGTTTTAAAATGCTGCTTCAGCTCGAATAATTGAAATAATGCGGAAAGATTTGGCTGAAGGTTTGCAAGTTGAAATGCCCAGTTTATGTGTTGTAGAAGTATAGATGCGAACTGGGCACTTTAATTTGAAGGCAATTTTGAAAATTAACTTTCTTAGTCGAGTCGTTGGCCAGGCAAAATAAAAACTAGTCTAAAATCGCACCTCATATATCAGTTTCATAAAGACGTTACATAGAAAATACATGGAGCTTCTGTGATTTAAAGCGAATCCCGAACCAGACGTGTTTTATTCGAGATCCGGCTTAAAAGAAAGGCTGGATTTAGAGTCTGGATATGGGTAAATGCTATTCCTTGGAGAGACGTGGCTTTGTGATCATGTATTATACAAAAACATAACTTCGGCACTCTTAGTGTATTTTTGTTCCTCTAAAAATGTAATGGAATATCTGAGTTTCATATGGTGTTGCTAAGAGAATATTGAAACATTTAAAGAATCAGCTGAAAGAAAGTTTACTACTTAAGAGGATTAAAAATCTGGGGCGTCTAGACAAAACCGTGTGTGTGTATGTACTTGAAGATCGTGCTTCATATTTTTGATAAGGATTATCTGGTTTAGATTTGGTCGAAATTCAAGGTAAATAAAAATGCCCAACTGCTCCTAAATGTGTGTGCTTTAATAAATTACATACAATTCTTGTACGTGTTAAAAGATTTCATAATTGTTGGTCTCTTTTCAAGATTTATGGTTTCTGTTTTTATAAGAATTAGAGTTTTATGCAAATCAGAAACGCATAGAGCTGAAAGTAGGCGAAGCTGAAATACTTCCATTAAAGTTGCAAAAATATTTTTTTGTCATTCGCTCTCAAACATGCAGCACTTTACCGAAGATTAAAGCCTTAAAAGCCTTCATTCAAACATCGACAGATCCTTGTAGTGCATTAAAGAGCGAACAGTTTTATGCAAAATTGACAATCGCAAAGGCAAAGACTTTACGGGGAAGATGCTTTTGTAATAAAAGCGTATTAACTTTTTGTGTGCTCCAACTAAGGGCCCTATTATTTTGTTTTTGTCTCGAGCAGCCTGTTATTAGCTGCACGTAAAGCGGAAGAATATCAACAACATGGGGACGGTTTTACAAACGCTTGTCGCACAATAATTGATACACAAATGTGTTAAATGTGTCAATGTTTTATTATTCTGCAGCGAAATTTATGTTTCAGCTTTTTTTTAAATTTAAATATCAATGTTTCCTTTTACTTTATTTTTCCTGTCAGTTTATAACGATTACACATCCATGATATTGCAAATCGATTAGTAGAAGGATCTTTGAATCATATCTTATTGTTTAGTGGACTTAGTGCCGGCCCCCAACTAACTTTAGAATTTTTTATCTTTCATAGCTTAATCTATCTGATTCGTTCGACAATATCTGTGCCGAACTATGGAGTTTGCTTTTATTAGTATAATCTTTTACCGAATATTCTTAAAGGATTAAAATCAGATTTAAATCAAATCCGGCAGCTTTGATATAATGCCCGTGTGTTTGTGATTATCTTTTGTTATTGTAATGAAGCCTAATTCCGAAGTTCAAAACGAAATTTTAATTAAGCTCATGATTTGCTTGAATTGGCACCGATCAATGCATATGCTATCTTCAATTGTGTGTATATTTTTGCTTAAAATCGATTTAAGAAAGAAAATTTCCTTGAGTCGAAGGTTTCTCGGTGCCGTATCATTTAAAATCCAGTTTTATATAATTGTTTGCAAAAAGTTTCAATGTTTTCCATTATATATCCTTAACTTTTCATTGAAATCAATTAAATGGTGTCATCGAACACTCAAATGTAGGCACTTTTTACACTAAATAAGTGGCATTTATCTATTTGTTATAAGGTGTCATCGAGAAAGTTGTTGATTTTCTAAAGCAGGCAGCCATTTGAATGCCGATTATTATTAGTTTTGTTATTAGTGATTCATTTCTAATTATGCTAATATGGCATTATTGTTGGGTGTACTTTTTGCGGATTATTTCTCTTTTATTGAGTTTATATTGGATTTTCTCGCATTTTTTTAATATGGATCTCAAGCTGTTCTTTAGCCAATACTGAAAGAGGGGTATTTCTTGAGTATTTTGGCAATGATAGATTAATTTATCATTAAAGACAGCTCTCAACAAGTAGAATCCGCACAATAATCCCTACGTATAAAATTTACAATAGTTTCACTTTCACACTTTAGATACTAAACTATTAACTTTTGTTTAAATGATTACTCGATCTTTTTGAAGAAGCAAATCCTCTCAAAGCTCTTGAAGTTTTTCAAAATACCCCATAGGACGAGTTGTGACCATTTACGACTACACGATTTCGATTTCTGATGGTTTTTCAATATTTTTAAAGGGCGACACACTCAGCAATTTTTTTGTATTTGTACGCCCATGCATATTTCTTATTGCGCTCTATAAACATAATATTGCAACTGGTCAACTTTCCTTGATAATTTTTAATCTTTTTCTAACACGTTTCGGAGTCTTTGTCAAACACTGTCCATATAATTAATTTTTTTCTTCAAAAGATATCATTGAAAGCGCTTAAAGAAATACATTAACAAAATATGACCGTTGACGTAGATTTTCATATAATTGTTAATTCACTCGTATAGTGTCAAAAAATGTTTCTAATGAGTGGTTTCAAATAATGAATGTTTTTAACATTTGCGACTTTTTCATGAAACAAATCATTGACTGTTAAAAATTATTATTTTTAAGCTTTAAGAAGCAAAATATGGTTTCCTGAATAGGTAATCCTGAAGTCTTAGCAGTTAACAGTAGAAATCCTTCTTAACTAGCTAATCAATACCCACTTAATCTGCAACACGCGTTTACCATTGTAAAAAGCAGAATCCGGTTTTGCCTGGACGGATCTTGAGAATATTAACAATTTCGGGTTTTCCATCCTCCTTCTATTGCGTATTTACGTAATATTGAGTGTCATTAATGTTTTATCAGTAACATTATTGAGACATGTATGTGCGTGCTTGAGATTCTATGTGTTTTTAAGATCGGCTGTAAGGAATCAAGTAATTATGCTGATTTGGATTGGTTTCTAAAAATGTCAATTGCTCTCGTTTAGATGGAGACTTAATTATTGCAAATTACACTCATTGTTTATATTCAAGTGACTTCCTGGAATTTCCTCCCATTTAATTTTTGCAACGGGAATGTTCTATGAATGTGTTTATGTTTGCTCATTTGCATCTGTGGCCTACGAGTATTTCATAACTTTTAATCTCTCTCTCCTATATTGTCGCCTTCTTGAATATAGCTGATTGATTTTTTGCAAAAGTGTCATAAGATTGGACGCTTGAAAACAATGCGTTTTAGATAACGACATAGTTTAGATTCCCATTACGCAGTTCGAACACTCAAAAATCAAAATATGACATCAATATGCTTATGATTATAATTGCAACTTCAACAAAATAGAGATGAGCGCTTTTGGATGCTACATATTGTGCCGTAAATCATCCAATTATTTATCTACTTTCAATGTTTGCCCCGTTAACTTCCACCAATCGGTGAATGGTGCTTCAATTGTAATAATCTATTTACAATGAATAGAACACTTTTGTGTCCATTTGCATCTAAAGAAACCACTTATTTAAAAAAAATCTCCTGGGTAGTTTAGCGTCTCAACCGCACCCATTTAGATTCTTTGAATATTCATAATGCTTTCTGAATCACCCTGTTAAAAAACATTCAAGTTACTTGTGTCCGGTTGAAGAATAGTACTGATTTCTATCTTATGTTACTACGCTGGTATTCCAGAAGCGATAAGATAGAGAACTTGAAATTTTTGTTTCGATTTTGACGCAATAAATACTTGAAAGTTTTTTCCTTATCCTTCAGTTAGATAACAAAATGTGTATAAAATGAATCTGGCCTATTGGCAAATTATCTCAGTGTTTTTTCCTACGGTCGGTGGAACAAGAACGAAATGAAATTTTTTGCAGCATTCTTCGTCACCCTTTTGGCTGTACATGTAAGTAATTTGAATTTTCTAGTTTTTTCATCATATGGTAAAGATGGTGGAAACATCGGCATTAAAAATTGCTCAAACTTTTAACGCCAATTTTTATTTTACTTTGGGTAAACTTTTAGGCCAGTACTCAAACTCCTGTAAATGATGCTTCTACCAAAGAAGTACTCATTGAACTTCTAAACGATGCCCTGAAGGTTTCTGCGGCACTTCTATCGACCGCCAATAGCGTATTGAATGACTTCAAGACTAACGAAACTGAGACCGCTGAGGGTTTAGCAAATCTGGTAGCTAAACGACTACAAACGATCAATGAGGTTGTTGTGGACCTTGTCGACGAATTAAAAGACGGTGCCACCGACCAAGGAAGGAAGGTTCTATCTTGCGTTGATGCTGAAAAGGACAACGTCGACGCTGCCATTCTTAAAACTGCTCTCATTCTTGCCGATAATACTCTTACGGAAATTCCCCTGCTCACTGACTTGGCTGAATTAGTATTGACTCAGGGTGCTGAGCTTCAAGAGGACGTGAAACTGTTAGTTGACACTTTGGAGACTTGTGATTCCTCCGACACCATTTGCTTGACCGTATTTGCTGTGTCAGCAACGAAAATTATTAAAGAGGCTGTGGAAAATGGCCAAGAAGACGTTGACGCTTTGGTGACCGTTGTCAAGTCGATTATTAGCGATGTTCAAGCTTGGGACGTTCGTGGCACCATTCGTGAGGACATTCAAGCTATCTTCAATGACGTAGTTGTATGCATCTACAGTTAAATATGTACTTACATGTATATACAAATCTGAACTGCTCTAATAAATTGATTAATGCCTAGTTTTTTTTTGTTTCAATTGCTGCGTTAAACAACTTAGCTAATTATGGGAAAGAGTAGTGAAAATACCTCTGAGGACACTCGCCACTCATGCTAGCAAAAGGTCATTAAAAATATATTCAGGTGCAACCTAAGAACCCGAAAGTCTCAACAGTAAATTGCGTTTGTTGTTCAATTTGTATCATTTTAATTGACTGATGTTCTTATGTAACATTTTCGATGATTTGGTCACATAATAGATAAAAAAGTTGACGCTTAAGTCAACTACTTCTAAACTTCAAAAAGGAATTCCAGTAAGAGCTTAGCTGATTAATTCGAGGACATTGACATGGAAGCAATCCATGATCAATCGTGTGAATAATTAATGGGGTTAATTAATAACGTTGTTCTTGTATCGCACATGTTCAAGAACTTTGTAGATACATTTTTGAAATCAACTTACACGCGTGTCTGATAAAATCGATTGAGTGAATTGTGTGGAATGTCAAATAAACAAAACCTCTTAGACAGTTTTACAAAGTGAAGTTCTCAATTTCAGTTCGTTTCATCTAATATAGTAGTTTCAGTGGTGTTTTGGAGTATTCGTTGCCAAACTCCATTGCTTATTCCGATGGTTCTTTTTGAAGAGCATGTTTGAGTTACGCAATTTTTCATGTCTCCAGCACGTATTTAACTGGGCTTAGATGTTGTAACCAACTGGAAGTTTTACTTCACTAAATACATTTTACAAAATACTTCACTTTTTTTGACCGAAACGATAAAGAATCTGGAGCAGTACTATTTAGTGCAACCTCTGTTAGATTTTTACATGTGCCGGCAAATGATTTAATTCTTGCATAACTATAGAAAGGGTCACTAAAAGAAGCACTCTATTGATACTGAAATATTTAGCTATTGATTTCAAATTGAATACAATATTTACATTAACAATACTATTCTTAAAACGAATACTTATTTGCTGTAAATGCACTCAACAACCTCATTGAAGATGGCTTGCGTGTCTTCACGAAGAATTCCACGAATATCCCAAGATTCAACATCGCCGATAATTGACTGGGTGACGGTAACAAGGATGTCATAGTCTTCTGCAATGTTACTGGCGATTTGTTGGGCAATTTTAACAGCTCCGGTGGCGAAAGTTTTGAAGCATTCGGAATCTTCAGAATCACAGGTATCCAAACTGTCGGTCTGCAATTTAACGTCTTCTTGGAGTTCACTAGCTTGACGCAAAATAACATCCAACAAGTCAGTAATCAGTGGAACCTCTGAAAGGACGTTATCGGCTATGATTTGGATTGTTTTTGCTACAGCAGCGTCGACTTTTGATTGCTCGGCATCGATGCAGCCAAGAACGAATTTTCCGTCATCGGTGGCACCGTCTTTTAATTCATCCACAAGTGACACAAGGATACCATTTACGTCTTCAAGTTCCTTGGCAATAAGGGAAGCCAATTTATCCGCAATTACTTGCTCGTTTTCTTTGAGGTCATTCACGTAGGTATTGGCATCTTCCAGAAGTACAGCGGACACTTTGAGTAGTTCGTTGAGGATTTCAACAACTGTTTGCTTGGTACTGCTGTCATCAGCACTTACAGGTGATTGGGTACTGGCCTGGAAATTAAAATGTGGATTTTTAATTCCGGTTGCTTTTAAGCTCAATCAACGTTATCGTAATTGGGTATCCTTAATAACGATGTAGGCGTATTTTTCAAATTATTATTATTGCTTAAGTTTTACAGCTTTCATTTGGTTATTGAATAAATTATTCACTAACCCAAACTAACTCAAACACATCTATAAAATTCGAGAACCTTTTGAAAACATTTATATAAAGGTACTTACATGAACAGCCAAAAGAGCGACGAAGAAAGCTGCGAAGATTTTCATCTTGATTTAGTTTCACTGGCTGCAAGCGAACGTACACAGATGGCAAAAAATGAATTCGGGTTCCATTTTATACTTTTGTGGTTATCAGATGTTGTGATAAGAGAATGGCAATTGGTTTTTTCAAGTAGTTCCGTTCAAAAGTCATAGAAAAATTGATATTGCTTATTTTTGGAATATTAATTAAGCTGGCAACGCTTCATGGAGGTTTCAAAATGATGTGGGTCCAATTGAATGTGCAAAGTACAACTCCAGCTAATCGTGAGCAGAGATTTCAAATATACTCATTGTAGCGTTTTCCGTTATCGCAACTTTTTACTGGTCTAGTTGCAGATCAACCGAAAAATTGTTGTGCTTTTTCCGTTCTCGTTTATTTATTCGTTTCAAAATAACTGTGATTTTTGCTCCATTTCGTCCATTAGAACTCATGTTTCGTGGTCATTAAACATTAAACAGTCACTCGAGCTTTTCCTTAATGGTACTTACAATGTCCCAAATGGTTTAATTGAAAATTGCTATGTTTAATAAGGCTTTCGACACTTCTGTACCAAAACAACTTTAAAATATGTTTTTCGTCACATGCTTCTGCCCTTAGTCTTGCGGATAAGGCAAACTGCAAACCTTGAACTTTATTATAGAGGGTTACCCGTAAGCACATGATCAAAAGGATACTGCGATATTCTTTGCATCAAAATAAGACGATCTGACCTAACGTTTATTAACAAAAAAATGTCTGGCTCCTCTGCTATTGATGGTCACAGTTGTTCAAAAACATTATTTTTTAAAATATCCGGACAATGAGGGTGAAACTCGCTGTGAATTTGTTTTTATGTAAGACTCATATTTTGATGACACAATCGAGTTCATCCGTTTTGGACAAGTGGTGAATTCTTGAGTGTGGAGGTACAAAAACTACCAGAACTTTTTATTTGGTGGATGAAATCAACCCATTTTTTTTTGTTGATGCACTAATCATTTATTCACAATTTTGTACTGTTTGTAAAATCTTATTGCATTCATAGTTTTTGCGACAAAAATGGTTTATGTTTTCTTGCGACTTAACAATGTTAGACATTAACTGCAAATTATATAAATAGTATAGTTAATTACAATAGTAAAAATATGCAACAATTTTTTCGAATATTTCCTTGGTATCTGATATTGATTGATGACTGATTGGTGATAATCTGTCCGTTTGCCACAATTTTGCCACAAGTTTTTCGCCACAATATGAAAATAAACTCATGCAGTTTTTAGACAACAAGCTTTCATGCAAAATTATCGGTAATTTTGAAGCACTTGTGCAATTACCCCCGAAAATTTCTAGAAGATATTTACAGTCATATCTAAGAATTTCGTTTCACCTCCAATTGCAAGAGTTATTTTTTTTACTATTTTTCCTGTTCTGCCCCTAAACATCCCCATAGAAAACGCCCCGAGGAATTAGGCCAATTTTGAATCACCACGTATATTAAATTTTAATTATTTTGACCAGTATTGCGAAATTAAAGTTAATGAAAATGGAATATGGAGTAACTAATGTTACAAAATGATTGTGCCTTGAAACGAGATACGATGCTTCTCTTGCAACTGCTTAGAATGACAATATTTTACTTTTTTTCAAAATTAATTTTTACTATTCTAATGGCGAGTATTGAAGGTAAACTCTGTTTTTCATCGTTGAAGGGAACTAATTCTTTATGGGAAACTGGAATGGAACAGGGCCGTCTAAATTCACTTGCCATGTTAAACATTGAGAAATAAATTATTGTTACCATTCTAGAATTTAACAGTCGTGTAATTGAAGCTGTTGCAAAAATAAAAACTTTTAACTTGGAATTACGTTACAATTTTAATTGAGTGTTTTATCCGTTTCAGGCTCTTTGACTATTTGCACTTGAAAGTACAAATACTCTGATTTAAGCAATTTTTTCTGCCCTTTTGTATAAGTTTATTGTGCATCCCCACACTCATTTCTTATGAGCCGCACCTTTTGTTGAGAATGTTCTTTAAATGCTACTGTGGATTTTTATATGTGAACGGTGCCTAATTTGAGTGATTTACATGCAAACTGGAAGCTTCTCAGTGTATTTTGTTGAGTTAAATTACTCATTTAATGATAATATTGTTTCCCGTCATCTTCAGCACATCATCATTTCATTTAAACCCCAAAATTTTCTAATGCCAATTTTAGCGCCGCAACGCAGAATAAGGCTCAGTAATATTTAACCACCAGAGGCTGGTCTTTTACAGGTGTTGCAAATGTTCTTTCAATATTTTCAGTTTGATATAACTGCAAAAACGGGCCATGAAATGAAATCACAATATTAGTACTAAAAAAACTGGCTATTGATTTGAAATTAAATATAATATGTATGAAAAACGGTCATCTACCAAAGTTATATAACAATAGCTTGGCGAAACAGTACATAAAAAACATTAAAAGTCGAAGGTTTATTGTTAACGTCCATTTAATCTCTATTCAACAGCTGCTTGGTATGATATCAACTTTTAGCGTACTACTCTTACAATGCTATTGTAAAAACGAACACTTATTTGCTGTAAATGCACTCAACAACCTCATTGAAGATGGCTTGCGTGTCCTCACGAATAAGTCCACGAATATCCCAAGCTTCGACGTCGCTGATAATTGACTGGGTGACGGTAACCAGCATGTCATAGTCTTCTTGAATGTTACTGGCGATTTCTTGGACAATTTTAAGTGCAGTGGCAGCGAAAGTCGAAAAGCATTCGGAATCTTCGGAATCACAGGTATCCAAACTGTCGGTTTGCAATTTAACGTCTTCCTGGAGTTCACCCGCTTGACGCAAAATAACATCCAACAAGTCAGTAATCAGTGGAACCTCTGTAAGAGCGTTTTCGGCGATTTGTTTAATTGTTTTTTCTAGAGCAGCGTCTACTTTTGATTTCTCGGCATCAATGCAACCAAGAACGTGTTTTCCGTCATCGGTGGCACCGTCTTCCAATTCATCCACAAGTGATACAAAGATTTCGTTGAGGTCTTGAAGTTCCTTCGCAATCAGAGATGCCAATTTATTGGCAATTACTTCTTCGTTTTCCTTCAGGTCATCCAAGTTGGAATTCGCAGCCTCCAGAAGGTCAGCGGACACTTTGAGTACTGCGTTGAGGATTTCAACTACTATTTCTTTAGTGTTGCTGCCATCAGCGTTTACAGGTGATTGAGTACTGGCCTGGAAATCAAATGTGGATTTTTAACTCCGTTTATTGAAGAGTTGAATCAATATTATCACCATTGAGTTTGCTTAATCATGCTTTATTTGTATAAGTTTGCTTTATGCGTATTTTTTTAAAATAATAATTAGTATTGCATAATTTTTACAGCTTTTAGTTGATTATTCGATAAATTATTCACTAACCAACTGGAACACATATATAAAATTCGACAACCGTTTAAAAACCATGGCAAATTATTAAAAAAAAATTAACAAGGCCTGGAAATTTAATGAGGATCGTTAACTTCGTTATATGTTTAGTCAATAGTGGGACTATTGATTTTGCGGAGCAATGTTTTTCCAAATTATTATTGCGTTGTTACTACAGTTTTCAGTTGGTATACAATAAACGAGACCCGATTAAAACTATCAATTATCTTGATGGTACTCACATGAACAGCCAAAAGGGCGATGAAGAAAGCTGCGAAGATTTTCATCTTGATTTAGTTTCACTGGCTGCAAACGAATGTGTACGGATGGCATAGAATGAAATTGGGATCCATTTTATACCTTTGTCGTTATCAGATGATGTGATAAGAGAATGGCAATTCGTTTCAAGTAGTCCCGTTCAAATATCATAGAAAAATTGCAACCACTTATTTCTAGAACACTAATTAACGTGGCAATGAGAAGTTTCAAAGTCTCATGTACCAGGATTGTTCTTCCCGTTAATGCAACTTTTTACTGTAAAGTCAATCAATCAAATTGGTGCATTCAATCCATCAAAACTAATTTTCGGTGTCATTAGAGTATTCCTCATATCGATATTTATAATATTTCAATTTCTAATTGAAACTTTTAGACCTTAAAAACTTTCGTTGCAAAACAACTGTAAAATATGGTTTTCTTCAGTGGCTCCTTCTCTTAGTGTTGCTGGGAAGAAAAATTCAGGTCTCCAATTTCGAATACACCTGAAGAACTTGAGGAGTTGTATGTTGTAAGACACTTGTCAAATTAAGAGCACACCTTTGATTGGGCAATAATTATCAAGAGCGAAAATGCATTCAAAAGAATACTTTCGGTTCCCAGCTTCAAATATTGTGCCCAATAAAACAATAATAAATTCTATGTTTAAAGGAAGAAGCGAAAATTTGAAAATCAGGTTTTTAACAAGAACCTTTGCCTAGCTGTAAGTTTCTGATATTTACTAGAGCCCACCCTGTATACAACTGTTGTTTTTCCACTTAAAGTTAAATGTCTTGTTAAATCGAATGTTAGACTTTCAGTAGCAAGTTGTGTTTGCTAATAGAATCAATTAAGAAGCTCCAAAGCGCGATTGCAGGATTCTGAGAATGTTTTCTATTCAGATTTCCTTTTAACAAGCGCTCTAAAGCAGAGAACGTTGCTGGGTGCCTGTGCTTTGCAAAACTTTACTACGTTTTTCACATTTCAAATGATATATTTCCTGGAAAGTTTAATTTGAAAGAAATCGAGGAACATTTAGTAAGCATTTATCTTTGCTAGTATGCATTTTTGTCTTTTACATATTTTCGCATTACTTATTTAAAGCCTTATTTCTACCGTATTTTACAATTGTCAGTAGAAGTAATCTAATCTCAAACAGGTGGCTTTCAATGTCGAAATCGGGCATACAAAGTAAAATAATAACTGAACGTTGAATGAATACAATTAGCTGGCAGGAAGTGTTGGCCAGTGACATTGCAATAACTCATGGTATTTAGTGTATATATGTATAACTATTGAGTATTTCACAATAATCCACTTTAAATGGGTTTATTCTGATACAAATAGTAGCGATTTGTTATTTGCTTCCTCAATATTCAGCTTACTGGAGCAAACACTCTAAGTTTGGTTGCTTGGTTGTGAGATTTGCATTTTGCAAATATCTCAGTTTTGGGCAAGATTAAGGTAACGTGCCCCTAAACCTCTCCAGATTAGCTCAAGTTCAAACCACCCATTATATACTATAATCGAAAATAGGTCGTAAATGTGATAAACAAACATGTTCAAAACACCTGCTTATACTGCAACTAGATTTCAAGTGTCCATTAAACACTTTAAAAGATATCGATATGTCTATCTATTGTTTCATAATTATTTTTTTTAACTTTAAGAGTAAATATATGGTTCAAGGGTTATTTACTAGGAATATGCGATTAAATCTTGTTTTCTGACAAAGGCTGGTTGCATATCGAAATCTTAAATGTTCAATTTTGGATTATTTCGATACATATTCATAGTTTTCGTGATATTGTTCCATTGATTTAGGGGCCATGTGATTCAGATACCCCGAAATGAATTTCTGTTTATTAATGTAATAAGTGAATTCGCATACAGGCTAATTTGTGAATTGCGTAGGATGGTGAAAACAGAAAACCCATCGACCAGAAGGTTTTTGAGGTATTTCCAAAATCCGAAATATTTTATTTTAAATAGAGGCCTTGAAAATTATCTGACTTCTTAAAGGATTCTAAAAAACATTAATGCTTCCCTAAAGAATGCACTAGGCAGATTTTTGAAATGTTTTTTTTTTTAATAAAGTAGCTTTTGTATTTGTTGAAAGTTCTAAGGAGACATGGAAGTGAAAGTTAAAAATAAATCAAGTCATTTACATTCATACAATTGTGTCTTTTGAAGTTGTTTTGGGATCGCGAGCAAAAAATTGTTTGGAAAATAATGGAGGTGCGAATAATCATTTAATTTCAATATTGTCCAGCACTTCCTATTAACCAAGGTTTTCTGTTTTCATTGTGAAAATCGATCCTTCAAATGCAATTATTTCGCATTATTAATTTGTTTTACTAATAAAAATTCTTGCAAACATTTTCGGCTTCCTCCCTTGCTAGCTTTGCATTAAGTTTCTTTGATGTTTTCTTTAAGGTCCCTAGTATTTTTATAATAAAAATTCTTGGGAATTACAGCATTATGGATCGACTGGATAAGTTACTTTAAAGAAAACGTACAAGAAACTTAAGACAAAGCTAGTATGGAAAAAAATTTCGTAAGCAGTTAGAAACAACTGAAACACATATCTATGTGTTTCACCTTGTGTAACGAACAAAATTTCAATTGATGGCCACTATTGATCGCATAAATAAATAATTTTAATATTACATACCAGTCAGACAAAATCTTCCATCCCGGCTTGGCTGCATCATCCTGTGTTAGGCATTCATTATTTCATAGAAAAATCTTTACTTCAATATCCAACTTGTAAACTTGTTAACAAAACTTGCTAAACGTAGAACAACATTAAAGTTTCAATATCAATTATCGATTTGCTGATATTTAAATTATTATCTACTTGATTGCTGAAAGATGGACAATTTGGAATAGCCTTTGTGAGTAACCGAGAGGTGATTTGTTTTTAATAAAATAAGTTTTCTATTGGAAATTGGCGGCTTTGGCTAGCCGACGTTTACAATTCGATCATTGAAATAATAGTACTATTTGCATTTTCATCCACTCATTAGTTTTTTATGTGTGTTTTACTCATAATTAGTAAAACTCGATGTGTTTTACTCGATGAGTCCAAAATAGTTCGATTTATTCAATTAGTGATAAGCTTTCTTGTAAATGCCAATCGAGGTAATTTGCCAATCAAAGAGCAGTGATCTTTGAGATAATTCTGCCAAGTAACGATCTAATATTTCTTTCTTATTGATATTCTCGTCTTTGATAGACAGAACTATTATGCAAACAATTTCATTTGAAACCTAGTGTTTCATTGCTTTAATCTCAAGTGGCCCACAGTTTTTAATTTTGTATTGTTTGAATCTTTGCATCCTAATTAGATGTGGCAATTTTCTTTAGAATTTCGATGATTCCACTTGAAGTGAAATATTAGTTTGTTGCGTTGTTTATCCGATAATGATTTTTCTCGTATAAATACGCCACGGGAATTTTATTTTTCAACAGTCTGCGCGACCCAAGTGCTTATGTTATTCACAATGAACTTCAAGGTGTGTGTTACCATTCTGGGAACATTTTTAGCTGTCCAGGTAGGAACGATTTCCTCTATTCATCCTATTCACACATTCATATCATTCACTGTTTGAATTATTTAACAGACGTTTGTTGTTTTTAGGCTAGTAACCAATCTCCAGCCTTAACAGGCACCACTAAGGATATAATCGTTCAAGTACTGGATGAGGTTCTAGCAGTAGTGAGTGAACGTCTGGCCAATGCGAGCGCTGTGGTTGACAATCTTCAAAGTAATCCTGATCAAATCCAAACCAAAATTGTTGACGAAGTACAGGCAGTGGTAAAAACGCTCAATAGCGAAGTCGTGGATGTTTTGAACAAAGTGAGAAATAACGCCTCAGATGGAGGTAAAGCGATCATCGATTGCGTATTAGCTGAAGACGATCCAGCTGAAGCAATTATTGAAGATGCAACAGCCAGCTTTGGAGCATGCATTTCTAATGACACCAGCGTAGTTCTGGCTGCTATTAGTGATGGTCTGGATCAATTAACGCAGCTGGTTGCTGATATTCAGGCTCCTGTGAATACTTTAAGTAGCTGCTCGAGTTCAGACACGATTTGTCTTTTGAGTTTTGCCACCTCTGAAGTTGCAGTACTAAAAACTGTTCCTGACTTGGTCCAAGAGTATATTGCTCAGTGGAAAAAAATATATAGTACAATTTCCGCCGATGCAACAGAATGTGCTGCAAGTGCGCGCAGTGAGTACAAGTCGCAAATTATGGCAGTTTTCGAAGACAGTGTTCAATGTATTTTGAATATTAAAAGCAACTAGGTCAAAGAATGTTTGTGATATTTAAGTTATTTAATACATTTGTTTTATTATAAATTTTGTTTTATTTAACTGCTAACTTAATTATGGCTGTGAAGGAGTGCAGTAATGGAGCTTAGGGGTTCCGATGGAAACTTTTTCCAGTTTATTGAAGAACAGTGGCACTTTCAGTAAACTGGTTGCACCCTAATTAGCAAATATTTTACGAATAGTTATCAAGATGGGTTGATATTTTAAAATAATGCAAAGTTCAAAATGCCAACAATATGAGCAACCGCATCTGAAGGTGTAAGGTACTTCTGGATACAAAGCGCAGAAATTAATGAAAATTAGCGATTCTATTTTGTCGAAACGGACAAACATGAAACAACTTTTTTGCACGAATTTCCATTAATGTTTTGAGATAATTTTCTGTTTGTTTGGAAATAATCGTTTCTCAGTAATTTCACTGTCATGACTCGAAATATCTAAATGCAAAAACAAACGGATTTGGCTGATTTCGGCAGCTAATTTCATTAATATGACATTAGATTGGCCTCCAAAGATTAATCTTAATTTACTGGCAATTTTGATCAAATAATTTTTTTTATTGATGTTGTAGCTTTATGTGGCAATTTTACAACTTTTGTAAATGTTTAATCCATAAAGTTTTAAGTTTTCATCTTGTTGCACATTGATCTATCTAAATAATGCAAAAACTAAAATTAGATCTCTTGCTTTATTGATAATAATTCACTTTGGTTTGTTATATATAAACGAGCCTGCGCTAATCTGATTTGTTTTCCATCGCACAAACACTTAAAAAATATTTTTTCGTGAAACCAACGATGTTCTGGTCTCTACAAAAGCCGGCTTTGGAGATCTTGAATTTTTTTTTAAATCTATCCGATTTCATGTACATTTTGTTTCAGTTTCGCATCATCACAAATTTTGAAGTTTTGCCCAATTGAGGAATTCATATACCAAGAAACATGTTGGTGAAACAATTTTTTCAATCTGCCAATAAATGTCCAAAGCAGTTGGCTATTTTTCTGGAGAAATGGAATTTTTGTTTTAGAAATAAACTCAATGAAGCTGATTGGATTGAGAATAAAATTTGTATTTAAAATATTGTACGAACAAAAGCGGCTTTTAGTTAGAAAAACTAAATAAAACTACAAAAATTGGTTTTAAGTTTTAGGGAAATACTGAGACCAGAAAATATAAATTTATTACGCATTACGAGATGTATTTTGCAAAGAATAGAAAGGGTGCTTAATCCGGAAATGGAAAATTTTAATTTGGCCAGCTTTAGATTTTTTCTATTTATATGTTAAGGATATGGAAAAAATATAACTAGCGCAGCAAAAACAATCGCCAAAGAACGCTAGCAAATTAGACAAATATGGATGATGACTGAAATCTTGGTACTCATGAAGACAGGAATAAAATGTGGATACAAAGAGGCCACTAAGGATAAATAAATACTTGTACAAAATAATATACTTAAAGCCCAACAGCCTGGATCGTTTAAAGGTGTATACAGATTGGAGAGCTGAAACAAAATAATCTATTGCTTCAATCAAAACAAAAATCTTCAAAGATGAAAGCCTAATATAATTATAGCGATAATGTCACCGGAATAGCTTCAAGGGATGCATACTTATTTTCTTCGACAACCTTTATTTGTCGATTTATTTGCGAAATTTTTAATTTTAGAAGGAACTAAATTTGGGAAAAGAAACTGCATACCTTCAAAAACCGGGCAGTATTAGTTTCCCGGATAATTCAAATTAAAACTGAGTACTCATCATAGGTCAGGAACCAAACCAGTTGACAAGACTAATTTTTTCTATAGCTGTGACTTTTATTTTCCAGCCACTTCAGTCACCAATAAATTCAAGGGTTTACTCAATACAGTCTCAAGTGGCTTTAGATTGAGTCCAAAACTTCATATTGCATCAAATTTAGCGCTGACCTTTAGATATCACACTCTCCGCGATTTATCGTTGCCCTAATTAACCTTTGAAATGAAGCCTTTGCAATTTGGCATTTTGTCATCAACGTAACTGTGTATTTCGTACTGGTACTTTAAATTAATTCATTCTAATACGGCCAGTTACGTTAAAAAGTGCTCAGTTTGGGGTTTTATAAAACTCAGTCAGCCTTCTGACAGTTATTAGCAAACTTTTTAAATACGGCTTCCAACTTTCCATTATCTAAAATCCTTTTAGTTTTTCTTTGCTGTGCAGTGAAAAGTTTCACTGGACAATTATTTTCTTTTTTACTAAGTAGTAAAACACTATTAAGTAGCAAACAGCGCTGGAAATGAAATAGGATTGCGGTCGCTGCTTCTCTCCTGTTCAATTTCAGCAACGCACAAATAGTGTTTCTGTATTTGAAACTGGCAAAACTTTAAATTAATTTGGCCATTTTACCTGTTCCATTTCTGTTTTGTTCCCGAACTGAATTTATGAAATGAATATATTATATGCCGGGATAACTGGAAATATTTATCGTGGGTGTAAAATATTGTTGCTTCGTCCCAATAATAATGTTTATAACAGCAATGAACAAAGCGGCATCCAAATGATTTTGAATGCTTAAAATGCTGCACAACAATCGAGCCAGTTATATATATATAACAATTCAATAACAATAATTAATTAGGAAAAATCAATATAATTTTCCTGGGTGGTACATTGAATGTTTGTCTTTGTCATCGGTGATCGTCCAAAGAGAATGGACATAAATTCAAGTCGATTTGCTGCCTTACCGTTGAAAAATAAAACCACGGGAATGTCATAGACAGTATCCCGAACACCTGCAGGGATTCTAAATTAATTTGGGGACACTCCCTCGTTTGTTCCCATTTTACGCCATGTCTCCAGGGACAGCGGATAAACGGCACAGAGAGAACGACAAATATTGCAAAATCTGCTTTAATTGCATAAAGATGCAAGGGTTTAAATGGATGAGGTATTAAACAAGAGTTCAATCGTCGATTAAAACAGGTGAAGAAAACGGCACAAAAGAAATTTGTTTTCATTTTATCAAAAAAAAATATCTGCTCCTCTTTCCGTTCGCTAGAAAGCTTGAGTTGAAAATGCGATGTTGAATTGTTCTGTACATAGTTAAATTAATAATATGAAGAGTATTGCTGGGCAAAATGTTAAAACGCAAATAAACCTTTAAGCTGATGAATATTGCCGCGCCAAGAAAACCACATCTGAAGATGTAAGCCCTTTGTGTTTGCGAAACGCCAGAAAGATTTTTTTCGACGACGGCCTAAAATAAAACGAAACTCACATTTCAAGCAATGGCCGCGCTGCAAAGGTTTAACTTATTTGGCAAATAAATCTTGTTTTGTGCTCTATTTTCGCTCTTTGGTTCACGTTCGTTCAACATTGCTGCTGTTGTAATTGACTTCTCTGAAAATATACTGAGAATATCTGTAGGAATATATTCTTCTATCACTAAATCTCACTTTATTGAGGATTGAATGGAAACAGCGAACATCACTAGATTGTAATAGAACCAGTTGCATTTGGCGTTAGATTGCTTCGCATCGCTATATTCTCGTTTTATTTTTATGCGCCTGAAACTGCCTTTAATAACGAATCTGCAATGTTTTTTTTCGTTTAATAATAAATTTGAATTTCACTAAAACTCATCTCAGAGCTTGTTTGAACCCTTTGTAACAAACGAAAACCGTATTCTTAATTTAATTATAGTGAAATCCTGGAAAATATTTGAAACATTTCGTCGAGAATCTGTTTAATTTACTTCTATTGTTTTTCGGCCTTTAAAATTGTGCACAAAGATATCGCTAACAATGACACTGGATGGAGAATCAGGAGGCTGAATTGAATTGGAATTTAATTAAAATAAATTAACACTTGCCTACCTGATATTTCTAACTCAATATACTTAAAACTATTAGGCTGAATGAATACATTTGGTTGGCTGTTTTGTATTAAAATGTTACTATTATACAGAATTCAAACAAATCAAAGACCAAACAAGGTCTAATTTTTATCAGCAACAAACACTAGAAAGAATTGAACATTCACCTTTTATTCAGATCACCAAGTTCCGGAAGCAATCTCCCCTCAAGCGCAATGCTTCTAATTAACTGACGACTATTAACAGCCGAAACGATTTTCTATTTTTGGTCGTGGAATTGCATGGTGAATAAAAGGAACAAGAAATAAAAGAAAATCCTAAAATTAATTTCGGAGTTTCTGCAGGCGTTAAATGGATCGTTTCTTGAGTTCAAGAAAGTTGCGACAGGTTTTGTTGTTCAACGTTTCGGAGCCGGAAAAATTAACCCCGATTTCATTCGAAATTAAAGAATTAATTAGCGCATTGTGGTGAGAGAGACTTCCAGTTTGCAGTTTTTTGGTATAGTTTTTCGTTCGTTAAGCGCACTAATTTTATTTCTAAGATGCTTGAATGAACGGACAATAAGTAATGGTTTGCGAGTAGATATTAATAATAGATAATCGGCAGTAAAATATACGGGAATTTTGGGCTCTAGCTAACTCCCAATACATTTTCAGCGATTAGCTGCGAAAGAAAAACAAACGAAAAGAAAACAAACTTATCGTTATTTGGAAAGCCCCAAGGCGTTCCGTTCTTTTATATATTAGGGCAGGTTTAGAATTGAAGAGGGTAGAAAATCGACCTTAACTCGATTTAAAATCTATTGGGAGAGCATTGTTTTAAGTTCCGAAAGTTTATTTCGTTAATTACTATCCAGCTCTGCTAAGTCGAAATAGGAAACTAAGGGTAGATTAAGATACTAAGGAAGATTGAGGATGTTTTAATTAATAATTTCCAGACAGTTGGTTTGAGTCGGGTTTCTGTTCATTTCAGGTCTCGATTTGGCCTCACCTAACCGAAATCTTCCTTCAAAACTACCTCAACATGAGTCTCCGCCAGCTTCTGCTTCCGAATTTAGTGCTTCGCTTCATCTCCTTTTGCAGCAACGGGAGGAGGAAAACCGCATAGAAGTTGATAGACTGACAGCGGAAATTAAGAATCTTAAACTGCAGTTATTTCAATACACTAACGGTAAGTGTAAGATTGCATAAAATTTAAATTAATAGAAAACGTAGTAGTAGAATTATGATATATATTGCGGAACATAAATATGGAAGGATTAAATTTCTTATTAGTATAACCAATGAAGGAACATGCATATTTAATCATAGACAGTAAAGCTTTCTCAACCCAACTAGTTTGTCCAGCTTGGAAAGCTTTAGAATCTGTAGTAAAAATCGTTTCTAATGTCTCTTGCGAAATGCTAGGGCGAATTAGACAGTTTAGGGGAAAACAGGAAATACTTCGGTTAAGTTCTAGGTCCGATAAACTTTGCTCTTAACATGGTATGTTTCGAGTTGAACGGCTTACATATCCTTAGGAAGTTCAGAGTTTTGAAGTTGCGTGATGGATCTTAGAGTGTAGCGGGTATTTTATTAAAGACGAATTGTGCTGCGAAGTATTCAAACGAACGGAACTGATTGTAGCGGTGTTTTCTTATTTGCGAACACCATTAGAAAAGGCATAGCCATGCATGAAATGCTGGATTAGGCGCCTTAAACGACACGAAGGATTGCCGCTAAATTGTTACATTTTGTATAAGTGGTAGAAGTACGCCAATACGGGGTAGAAGTTTGCGGGTAACTTGAGTGCAATTTTGAACCTATTTCTTATTCGATATTGGCATCAATAGTGCCCACCAATCAAAACTATTTTGGTTGCATAGGGTTATAAATTGGTTCTTTTACAAATAAGGATAGGTTTATTGGGCCTGCGGCTAATGGTTTACCAGACATAGATGAATGAACTATTAATCTTGAAAAAAGGGTCACATTTAGAACAGTACTGTACTAAGTCTGTAAAAGAAATTGAAAAATCTGACTCACCCTCTATTGCCATTCATCTGGGAGCATGGAAACAAAGCACAACCCTTTTCAAATAATGCGCCAATATACAGAGAGTTCAATTTTTTGAGTTTTTCATATAGATTACTAACTTACTTTTTTTACATAGAACACCCCCTATGTTTGTATGCCGTCTTGAAGGTTTTTTAACGAGCTTTCCGAAAATACGAGGCTGCCCATACTTTGATTCTCCAGTTTGTTAGTAAATCGGCTGTAATCTCAATTTTTTACAGGAATACAGGAATTTGCACCATTACAAAATTCAACAATTAAGCGAACAAATTAATACAGTTTACAGGTAAATAATTTGGCTTAGGAAGACCGAAAAGATAGAATTGACCAGTTTTTCAATATAACATTTCTTTTTTTGTCGGTAATCATGAATCTGACTACTCAATGAATTGTTAATATGGTGTTGATCCTCGCCAATGTTAATGCCAAAAAATCATTATTAGCCAGTAGGATAAATGCAACCCGATATTCAAGTGCTGAAAGAAACCCGATTATTTAAACGTTCAGAAGTTTATTGGATAGCTTTGCCGAAACAAGAAATGTTGCATTTAAGAAATGAACAATAATTAATAAAACAGTAACACAGAAGTACAATGAACTGACGCTATTCCTGGCATCCCTATTACTAAATACTACCCTATGAACTATTTACACGTAAGTTAATTAAATTTTATTACAACAAATAACTGAAACCTAATAAAACAGTAATAAGCAAAGACAATAAACATTACAGTATTGCAGACTGAAAACTTTACATGTTTGTAAAAGTGCATTGGTTTCAAGTCAGGTGATGTAGGTGGCCATTCAATATCACCACCGCGTCCAGTCCAACCATTTCTCTTCCAAGCGTCTAAGTAATTTCTTACAATCTTATGATAATGCAAAGGCATTCTCTGACAACCACTTGACTCAAAAACTTGTGATTCAAGGCATTGACAATTTATCATTGTCTGAAACCTTGTTAAAAGGATATTAACTTGGCATAATAATATGTGGGGTGTTCTATTTAAAAAAAAATGAGCTAGTGATGTTGGTGAAAAACTGGAACTAGGTTGCATCATCCTGTATAAGCGAATATGCTCAATGCAAATGTAAGAACAGGAACTTTTGGTGCTCGAAACCGATTTATTTTCTCCGCTTCAAACACTTTGAGAAAACCTCGGTCGGTTTGGGGAAAATATTTGTGCAGCGTGCTGAGATCCATCAAAGTTTGACGATCAGCTTTCAAGTAAGCTGCTCGAAGTTGGCTTTCGTGCCAAAGTTTAGCGCCATATATGAGCTGAAGAACTTTGCGCACACAAATATGTTTCTCTAGTTGTTGTATAGTACTTTCGAGCCATCTGAAGGGCTCATCCTGGTTAATGTGGCGGATAATTGAGTTTGATACTTGCACCTGATGGCATTCTGAAAGTATCTAATTGTTTCAAGAATGGTTCCAATATTTGTTGTTCAACAAAACAGAAATAACAGTTTCAAAGTTGCAGTTTAAAATAATTGAATTTGTTCTAATGTTCTTCAAGTATTTTCATATGAAAACCAGTTTTAGATGCCAGCAAATGGCAGCTATTTTAATGGCTTTATCTCGCCAGTTCAAATTGTAGCACAACTTTGTTAAAGCTCCTTTTTGCATTTGGTTTTAAATGTTGGTTTTGAGCATAACATGTTTAATAGAATTTGGGTTTTTAAAACGAAATTTTATATTCAATTAGTGTGGAAAACTTAGTGATTTTCGGTCAAGAATTTGAAAAATAAGCAAAAGTTTATTTTTAAGATCGGTCACATCAATGCTCAATTTACTCATAGTTAATAGCTCGCAACCAAATTTGTATTTATTTTCGCACATTCTATTTATTTAGAGACACATCCATAGGTATTCAATCTGAGTGTAATTTTTCTATTTTCTATTTCTATACTCTAGACTTCAGGAATACTCACTCTTGATTCTCGTATATGGCTCATCTTGTACAAAATTCTATGTCATGCTACACATACGCTGCTCAACTGGGAAATCGGAAGCATATGTTGTCGGATATTGCGATCGTGGATGCTCTTATTACGTACAATATCGGATTATCTGATAGTCGATAATAATCTCTCAGCTTGAAACCCGGATTTCTGCAAACACGTGTTTATTGTACCGAACTCATCCAGTTTACAATTTCCTGCCCTAGGTAACAAAGATGATAACTCGATGTAAACTGTTTATTATGTTCAGCTAAAAATCGGATCCGCTGAGAGAAAGAATTAGAACCAACTGAAACTTTGCTGAAATGAAATGAAAAGAACGTGGATTCATTCGCTAACCCCATGAATGAATCTCAAAACAATATATTTTTTTGTGAAAACAACACATTAAGCGTAGTGTTTTCCGTTTCTGATCTTATGTAGACGGAACGTTGCAATATTTTCAGTATTTCACTCAACAAGCCCATGAAACTTTGAAAGGAACATAGATTTTACTTATTGGATAAGCAACATTTTTGAAATTTAGCAATGCGAATCTGTAATGGCGATTCTATTATGTCGCTATCGAATTAAGCTAATAATTGCCTATTCCGTATGCACATATACAATGTGAATATCCGACGCATGTATGCTAAAATTTCCGATCTCAACGGGATACTCTGGAAAGCTACAATGTGTGGCTCTGCTGCCAATTAGACCATATCATATAGTTTTAAATTCCAACAAGCTTTAAAATTTCCACTATTTGAATAATTGTGCCGTATATTTTGTATCCATCCTTTTAGCTTCTAATTAAAACAAACTAAAGGAGGAAAATTCAATTATAAAACCATCAGCAAAATTAACTTTGAACCGGATCCTCTTAAATATACTGCATTAATTCGAGGTCCATTTGCATTTCTGCAAAGTTTTTAAGTAACTTTCAGCTGCACAAATAACTGCTACAATAAATGGAGCTCAGGAAATTTTGTTTCGAAACCACACAAATTTGAAACATAGATAACGCGGCATAAAGTGCTCTTAACTATGAATACGCGACGATCATTTATTTTATATATGCGAAAAAATGTTAATATTAGTAAGGTTTGAAAAAAATAGGAGTTTTTCGTATTGATTTAAATGGAAATTGAACTATCCAAATGGATGTCTTAATCAGTGTTGCCATCAAATCCCTGACGCTAAATCGTCCTCTCACTTGAAAAGGGTGAAGGGCCAATGCTTTTTGTCTGATTAGGTATTTGGTCACTGTGATAAGGGTCTTTTCGCTTCCTGGATGCGTTTCTACCCATTTCCTAGAACCATTTAATGGAATATTTGTGTATTTAGAATCTGAAAGGAGGCTATAAAGTGTCTAGTCTAATGTTTTACGTCTTTCACATTGCATCAACTTAACTAACGATAATGATAATGTTAATTAGTGTTAGTTTCAATCCACACATACACACAGTATCAAAAAAAGTGTCACACCTGATTCAGTCTTTTAACTTTTTCATTAAGTCATAAGTCTCTAAGAGAGTCATAAGATCGTCTTTAACAGGTTTTAAATTAGTCGCTAGATCATTCTCAAATTTGTAAATTTGTATAATTTCCAATAAAGTGTCTCTAAAAGCAAAATTTCTCAATAAATAATAAAATGCTATTTAAGGCTCTTATTTGAAAACTGTTTGTTTAGTTCATAAATATGCAGCTGACGAATTACTCAATTATGATATTTCGTGCCTTCCTTAAACATTATATATGCTACTTCACAGCACTACTTAAAAGTATATAACATACTACATTTTCTGTTAAAAAATGAGCATCAAATAACCATGTTTCAAATGTTATCTTATTGTTGTTATAATGTTATGTTATTTAGCAAAATTGTTGGACGACTCCATAAATACTTTAAAATTCGTAGGTATTGCCAATTTCGACTAGTGCCTAAGGTTTCAACGTAAAGTTTGTCGTAATAATGAATAATAAATCTGCAGATTCCTTTAGTTCAGAATTAGTTTGAGCATATGAAAATTGTTCCACTAAAATTGTTAAAAAATCTATGTAAATTACAATAAGTACAAAGGTAAATTTACAGTTGAGAAAGCCTCATTTCGTAGAAAGTCTCACCTACTGTTTCTCGATAAAATCTCATTTGATTTGTTCAGTTATTTCAATTACTCTGTTACTTTCCATTCTTGACAAGTTTATTCACTCATTTCCATTATAGTCGATCAGGAAAATTAAGAAGTCCCAATTATTATCGATTATTTGTCAATATTAGCACTAGTCGAACAATAAACCCCTTAAGCTGGAAGTATTATTCAAACGTTATTTTTCGTCGCAGGAAGGTTTTTCCCTTGGGAAGTGTAATTGAAATTAACTTAATTTTAGTGGAAACTTTTCTAATTGAAAATGGGATTAAGAACAAGCCCGGTGTCTCGTGGATTAAAATGTCGCAGCTAAATTAGTTAAAACTCGAAGAGGGATCTGGAAACCTAATAAAAACCTAGAGAACGACAGTAAATTTTAATAAAGTACTTTACGTCGAAGCAGTCTTTAAACCTGTTTGTTATTTCCAATGATTTTCCGAATGTTGGTAAACAAAGAAAGCCCTTAATTGAAAATGACCACGCGTCATTAGAAATCACCTAGTTTGATTAATATCGCCTATAAAGGCTAATATAGAGGCTATAAATCAAATCCTTTCGATGATATTGTTGGTTATTACTCGTCATTTTCTGTCATCGAGCCATATATTGTGGATCCAGATAACAAAAGAATATGTCTGTAGCGATTTTAAATTGGTTCTGTATGCATGCCATCAAGATATATTAATGAAAACTGACGGATTTTCCGAGTAGATTAAAAAATGTTAAATATTTATTATACTTTGGTGTAATTTTGTCGCAGTTACACACAACCATATCCGCCTATTCAAATATGTTTCGTGCCACATAATGGCCTATTGTACTATTTGATAAAAGAAACCTCAAAGGGTGTCAATGTATACTCAGCTGGTGATTGATGATTGCGTCGACACTCACATATATGGATGGAGGCCCTTAAAAGCAATATTTTTGCGCGTCTTGCCGTTTATCTTAACAATGAATTGAACGAAAACCATTTAGAAGATTACTTGAAGATATTCTCTGCCCAGTTTCCTTTTCCTTCCTGGTTGATTATAGGTTTAATATTGTTTGCAGTCATACTTAAACCACCTATTGTATTATTATTAAGTCTTCAGGAAATTAAAAAAGTGTTTGAACTCGAAACATTCTAAAAAACCATCATCATAAGATTGCAAACGATTTAATTGAAAATGATAAAAGGCATTCCAAACATTTTATAGAGCACTTGGGGCAATAATATAAGCACCAAGCAGAATCGATCTTTTTTAATTAGATTTAATAAGAAATTCTTAAGTTTTTAAAGTTAGAAGGAAAAATATTAATGCGAACAAAACGACCGGAATAAAGCCTAGGAAATGACTATCCAATTTTGAATCACCCTGTATAGTAGGATTTTGAAACTTCTGATTGTCTTGCAACGCGGCTCTAGCAAATCCAGAAGATTAAAAAAACTGTTCTGCATTAAGACACATAAGCAAAAATTCTTATGCACCTTAATGTAAATAAATTGACCCTCTAATAAGTAAGTTGCCAAAGTAAGAAGTACATATCAATTGGGTGCAGGTCCATATTTGATTAATGTTTCAACCTGTATTTTACGTCATATCTGTGGAATGATGTCACGTAACAAACATCACTAGAGATTCGCATTAAAAATAAAATTACAATCTCTACCAAAATTAATTTTTATTTGTCAATATATTATTTTTTACATTACAATTTTACAATCCTATATTCTATATGGATTAAACCTTGCAGTATTCGTCGTTGTGGTCCTGGCTTTACATCCTGAGCTCTCCTTTCTCTTATGGTACTCCTTTACTTGCCTAAGCGAATGCTTGCTTTTGGCAATTGTTACAATCTTCTGTCTATTACTACCAAACAGCATTGCATGTTCATCTCTGCTAATGCTAGCAGCCATTCCTGGCCTGGTAAGCCGCTCCATAATTTCTCGCTGTTCCATTTGGATAGCAGCTTGAAGGGTCTTTTTCAAAACTGGGTCTCCTTTGACAACTCGATCGAACAAAGGAGAACTTCTTGCTGCAGCCAACAAAGACTCGGCATCCAGTAGTCTCAAAATGAGACACCACATTTCCACAGGAAGAGTGGAAAAAGCAGAGCTAAATACACTAATGAGTGGTAGAAGTTGAAACATATTGAGGTTCGCAGTAGAACGTCTGTGTTAATAATGATCTTAATATCTTCTTGTGCAGTATTTATATTGGATTGGGTGCAACGAAGCGGAAAAGCATTGGTGTGGAAACATGGAAATTGCCACGTTGGCACTTTTTGTGATGACGACAGCATTCATCTTCAATTGAAATATATGTAGCATCTCATGTGAGCTTGCGCTTCAACATTATATCGTGTCCAGGACCACGACCATGCATCTTGGTCTTATTCTTCCTTTGCTCCACAATTTTATGAATACTAGTTTAAAAAATGTTGCAAACAGAATTGAATCATAAACGTTTTACATCGTTCAATCCTAAAGTTTTGTGAAAATTGAAAATTCCATAGGAAAATGTGTTACGGTTGAACAACCCAAAAAACCAGCATGTTGTAACCGTTGCATTTTTCATTTATTGCAGGTTATCCAAACCGCCACAGTATCCTCACCGACTCGTCTCAAAACCCGACCTTAACCAATGCCGAATACGCCAGCTACATAAAAAAACAAGTAATGCAAGCGGAAATCTTCCATGGAACACCGTTGAACAACGAGTACGAACTGATTCCATTCAACCATTTTACCTACAGCAGAGTTTATCCATCGGACTTAGGTCTGGGGAAACGGGTGGTCGAGAAGCCAATTGGCTACAAGCGAAAGGACTTGCTGGAAGCTTTGGTCAAAGGGCTGGACACGTTGAACAAGAATGTTACCGAAAAAATCCGGAAGTACACGCTGGATGATTTCATTGAGGGATTGTACAGGATAGAGCCAACGACTGGAACGCAATTTGAGCTGTATTTTAAAAGTAAACCAGTGAATAAAACTTCGAGTGCGGAACATGGACCAGTGAATGGGTTTACGAAGATTGTGGTTATGAGGCCATTTGCTCCGCTACAGACAATCACAAGTGAGAATCTTCCAGGTAAGTCTATGGTGGACATCAGCAGGTTGTTGCGTGTTGCTTTTGACTGAAGACTCAAACCGCAATGCGGTTGAATCTTGAAAATTATGTATACAAGTTGTCCCATTTTCGACGCTTTTCCTAAGGTATCTCCGGAATTGTTCGTGTTATTAGAAAAGTAGGATAGTATAATTTTGGGAATTTTTACTGTCTTAAAAGGAAAATCAAAAAATTGTTAATTTCAGAATAAATTTATATTTTCTTAGTTAAAAAAGGTACAGAAAAATATTTTATATAAAACTTTCTTTATAATACAATCCTATGAAAGTTTCGGAAATGTTTCGGTACAGTGTGTTTTATATTGAACCCAAGAATGTTATCTCAGAATAATTAGAAAATTGACATTCGGTTGACTCAGTACTTAATTGTTTTCATTTGACTTTAAAATTATTAAAACACCATTTAATGATGTAAATAAATATTTTTCAACTTATCTTTACTTATAAAATTCGATGCGTTAATATAAATGTATTCTTCTTCTAAACCGCGGATTTGAGTGGATTGTTTTCTTTAAATTGCTGATCTTATTAACGCAAAAACTTAAAAAATGTCTCAAATAAGCTCAAGAAACTAAAATAAGCAAGAAAAGCACCAAAAATTGTGTGAAATGATGTGTTCTTGCACATTTGGTTCATCTTAGTTAACAAAAGCATTATATTGCTTTTAATATTTACAAAAAGCATAATTTGTAGAATTCTAATAATAAATTGTTTGCCACGTACCTTGAGCCAGAGTATCCAAAATGAAGAACTTACCACTTACCATGATTTGGTTAAATTTTCATCGATGTTTTGCGATTTCTACTATGTTTCCCACTTTAACTTTCAGGTCCAAAAGACAAAGAACTAATACACATCATTTTGCCGCTTAGCGGTCGAACTGCTACGTTCCAGAATTTCATGGACAAGTTTGTTAAAATCGGTCTTAAGAACGACAGACGAGTGCACTTGACTGTCGTCTATTTCGGTGAAGAAGGACTGGCGGAGGCCAGAAGCATCATGTCCAGAGTACTGATGACCAAGAACTCGGGAGGCAACGCTAACAACTTGAGACTTCTCGCTTTAAATGAGACATTTTCCAGGTAGAAGTTATTCACGTTCAGAGAGTTAGCCTTTGCAATTTGGTAAATTGTGATTTTAGGGGAAAAGGTCTCAGGGTTGGTGCTGAGAGGGCTTTTGACCCCGATCAATCCAAAACACTGCAAAAGGAGCAAAAGTCTGCGAAATCCTCCGAAAAGTCCTTCAAAGTGCCACAAAAGGATGTTCTTCTTTTTATGTGTGATGTAGATATTGTGTTCAGTGCCAGGTAAAAAAATAATTGGTTATTACTTTAGATACGGTTTCATCAAACGATGTAAAGAACACATTTTTTAAATTTTATCTGCAGAAATGGCACTAATTCTATTAGCCGGTAACATTTGGGTGTGATTATTTTAAGCGCTTTATCGATCAAATCAATTGGTTTCGTGTTGGAAGCAATTTGTAAACTGTACAAAAACATAACTTATTAAGGATTGCGGGAAAATCACTTTTGCAGCAATTATGATTAGGCAAAACAAATCTGCAAGTTAATTCTGAGTAAAAGGGCAATAAGGCTCGGTTATTATTACGCATTACAAATATACCGGATGGTTTGATATTGAATGAAAATCTTTAAAGGAGCAATTCCTGAGAGGAAACGTTAAAAATAAAAAAACGCTTTGTTTCTGAGATGCGGCACTTTAAATGTCCAATAGCAACATCGGTTTATTGCGTTAAAAATGGACAAGTGTGATAATTAAGTAATTTTTAAAAGGAGGAAAACTTTTTTAGTTTCAAGAAGATAAAGATGTACTTTTCAGTCACTGTGAATACTTTCTAAATTTCCAGGTTTCTCGACAGATGCCGATGGAACACGAAACCTGGCAAAAAAGTATATTATCCAGTAGTATTTAGCTTGTATAATCCACATGTTGTATATACATTGCAAGGTAAAGAGGTGCCATCCGAAAATGAACAGTTGGTGATATCCAGAGACACTGGCTTCTGGCGAGATTTCGGATATGGAATGACGTGTCAATACAGGTAAATTTCAGCACGTGTAATTCAAAACAGCAATTAATGTGAATGTGGCCCTTATAATTCCAGATCGGATTTCCTGAAGGTGAAAGGGTTTGATGAAGATATCGTGGGCTGGGGCGGCGAAGACGTCATGCTGTACCGGAAATACGTGACGAGCGGCGTGAAAGTGATAAGAGGAACAGATCCAGGAATATTCCACATATGGCATCCAAAGGCAAGTAACGAAATAATCCAAATATCTGTTTCGGGGGGGAAAAACCGAGCGCGAAAACAGTCTCACTAGACTGGCTGCAACTCGGAATGAAACTTTTAACGAGTCATTGTTCTCTGTACTCTGAAGCTTGCAAGGCTGCAAATTGCATTTCAAAGTTTTGCTTTTGCTGCTGATGCTGCATTCCTTGCCCTTAGTGAAACTTTTCTGTCCCATTGAAATAGTTTCAGTTTTACTTCGGCTCCACATACAATAAATTATTGATGATGCACATTGCTTTTTCTTTAGCTTTCAGTATTGTATCCAATGTGAAGAAAACGAGTTCTCGAAGATTCCGCCATTCATTCTCTTTAGATAGTTGTTGGTTACTTTACACACTAGTTTTAACACTGATAAACTTTTATTAATTATTATATATTAAATATTACGAAGTACAAGCTACCTTTTAAGAAAAAGTTGAACCTGAATTTTCTACCCATGAGTGAACTAGAAACGTATTCGCACATTTTGTGCAAGTCTTATTTGGTTCAAAATCAATATAATCAACTATGTTTATCAACGTGCAAATAACTACTAATTTACTTCTTGACTTTCTCAAACTCATTACTAACTTTGTCCAATATTAGTAAAATTGTATTATTTTAACTTCCTTCATTAGCAAATTGTTAATAATTCGATTTTTAATTAATTGTCGAAAACATTACTAATACTTTGAAATATCACTTCGTTTCCTATGAGCATCCCGAAAAGCAGAATTTTTTTCTCTCACAAGGAATATTTTCTGAATAAATATTATTCAGCAAAAATGTCATATAATTGAGTTTAGTAATTGAACGCCCGTTGAATTTGTCAATTTAAAAATGTTTATTTATACTAATATTGAAAAAGTTCGTTAGAAATTAATATTGTTTGCCACGTTTCGTTGTTATCTAAGTAAACTAGACACATTTTTAGACATTTGTTCCTACCAATCATTCGTCGACTGATATTCAAAATTCCGTTGACAACCATAAATCGCACAACCTTAATTTATCTGATCAGTCGATTCAAAATAGCTGTATTATTTGTGGCTTCGTGATTTCTTTTATTTCCTTCAATAATTTGTTGTTAATATTTGAAAAGTCGATTTCTACATAACAATGTACTAAAATAAAAATAAAGGAATATACGAGCTTTTAATTTAAAGTGATGTATGTTTTGTAGATAACTATGTATTTATACAGATTCAAAAACAACAGTTTAGCTAAAAATCAACTGGAATTTTCAATTTGCTTTACGCATGATTGCTAATTCAACGTTAACGCTGTAAACGTTGAATTTGAATATCAAACAGTTTTCTGCTTTGCTAAAATTGCAGATTTAAAAATATTTATCTACCGTAAATATTCAAATAAACTCAAATCCGATGCAAAAAATATACATTCCGTGGTGGGTGGAGCATAAGCTGCTGTCCTGTTTTGTTGCACTCAATTGCCACTTTTTTCTAAGAATAATTTTCTACTTTAGTGACTAATTGATTCCCATATATTTTTTAGGAAACGTTTTTACTTTGAAAATTTTTTAACTGATAGACGATTTTTTGTTCCTCACATCAATCACTACTTTTTAAATGAATCACATTAATAGAGCTACAGATGAAAATCTAAAAGAACCGCAATGCACCATAAGAATTGGCTAACTGATGGAATGCAAATGGCCAACTGAAAAATCCCTCTGAACGAACGTCGTTACTGAAAAGAACTATTAACTGTTTCGAAGTTTCCGACGGAATTCGTGAATCGTCGCCTTATCGAAAACGTTAATTGTTTTTGGGAAACGCGAACAATTCAAGTTACAAATTGCATTCGAAAGTTTCCTTTTCCAAGTTGTATGCGTCATTGTTCGTAGGGCTTTTCATCGTACCCTGCAGATAGAATCGCTGCAAGACCCAGACGTTTAACGTCTCACGTTTACGTTTTAAGCGAGACATTCAAGCCAAATTAACTTGGCAAATTTGGTATAATTAATAATTGGTAGGCGAGTATATTAAGGCTTTTGTCAAATTTAATTGTAGTGATTTATAAGCGCATGCGGATATTGGCTTTTATGTGTAAAACGCAGAAAAAACTGTAAAACGTAGAAAACAAAACAAAAATAAAATTCAGATCTGTTATATTTCGATCTCGGTTTTGATATCTGAAAACTAAATTTCGATTATCATTCGAAATGAACTTTGATTTTCCTTCAAGCATATTGGTACACCAGTTCTACGGAATCGACACTTCGGATCCAGTGGATGCTCATTCGTATATCTCATTATTTATTCTTTCGTTATTTTCGTCCTCCAGAAGTAATTAAATTTTCTTAATTGCTTTTCAGTTAAAGCGAATCTAATTAACGTTTGTAACTAGCAACAAGATTTTTGAATAACTCCTTTGGGAATTCTAGTTTAATTAGATCATCTCAACTAGATGCAATTTCATTAAGTTGTTTGTCATTAGTATGACTCGCAAGTGCTTCGAAAATATGAATTATGAATACATATTAGGTGCCAAAAGAGTTGATCTTGTTGTTAATTTGATATTATTGTTGAAGTTGATTCTTTCATCAAGGTTTCTTTACCTTAGTTGGATAATAAATTTAATCGAAGCACAATTGCGCTCTAAGAGATAATTTTTTCTGGCTTAGTTTCAGTACAGAAATCAACAACAGAAAATGATCTCTTCATAACTAGTTATTTTTTCACTCAGGCATTTTATCGAAATTGGAAATTAAATATCGACCGATAGTTTTTTATTGCAAAATCAATGTTTTGTTCGTACAAAGTGACTACTGCTGATTAATTTCAGATTAGGAGTTCTAATAAATAAAGGCATCGGTACGAAAGTACAAGGCCGTCAATGTTTTATTTAAAAACCTGAAAATGTATTAACATATTCGAAAGCACTTGAGATCTTTTATCGGGCACGTTTCCATTGACCGACATAATTTTTTGGTGCATCAGTACCGACATGTTTGAAAAGTTTTGAAATTTTTGACGAGTAAACTGGTGCACCACAGATTTATCAAAACGTTAATTCCACCCTATCAGCAGCAGTTCAATTCTAAACAAAAACTCGTAAATAAAAAAATAAAAATAGTTTTAATGCACATTTCAGAATCCTCMAATCAACAGTTATTTTTAATTTAAACTTTGAAATTATTGACGACTAGTTTTAATGTAGTATTAGTATCAATCTTTGTCACTTGTGGCGAAAATTGACTGAAAATGCATTATTTTTTAATTGTGTATTTTTTAGGCAAACTTTTCATAGAATTATGTAAGTAAGTGCAGTGCTGTCTTACTTACATAATTTMTTTGTCAGATCATCAATGCCGAGGAAATTCTTGTCTTTTTCATAGAATGCTTTGACAAATATCCACACAATCACATTTGGTCTAACGAAAKCCCACACGCAATTAGTGAGACATTTTCCAYTCCAATTTCATTAAACGTGTGGCCAGGAACAGTTGATGATTACTTGATAGATCTTTTTTATCATCAACYTCGGCTTAATTGGGAAAATAGCATTGTTTTCTCGAAWATTAATTTCGTCTTTTATTGCAAGCTGTTCCTTTTGAAACTGGAAGATGAGTGTGATTTATTGCGACATTTAGCGTTATTGTAAGAAATGTATTTTTGAGACGCGTTGAATTGGAAGGGCAGTAGAAGAAGAAAACAAATGATGGGCCGTCAATATTTCCAGATTTAAATCCCCGTTACTTTTATCTGTGGGGTCATTTAAAGTCCAATACTGTTATTATGTTAGTCTTTTCCATTCAACTAGAAAATATTTCAAAACATATTTGAATAATTGAATATAAACAAAATAGCGGTTGCTCGAAAATTATGCGCTGCACGCAGAAAACTTATTTTTTTTTTTAGGTTTTTTATGGGATTGAGTACGCAATGAATTGACCGTGTTTTTTTAAAGAACGATTTTTCTCATGTGTTTATTGGACACCCAGAATATTTKATATTTGTACAAACTTATAAATCGACTAATGTCTTTATTATAYCATCTTTATATCATAATATGTTTGATACAGTGAGGACCGAAGGTGAAAGCAAATTTATTCAAAAAYTAAGTTGTTCATTTGGTGAAAACTTTCTAATATAAGTTAAAAAAAAACTTGGTAAAATAAAGTAAAAAAGTAAAATTTAGTAAGAATACTTAGAATCAGGTAAAGAAAACAAGAATAAAATATAAAACAAGTGTTTCTACAAAATAAGTTGATGGTTACATTTTATTTGGTGACCAAACTTTACAAATTAATTTATCCAAATAACTACAACCAAAAAACCATAAAAAATAGCTATTGTTTGTCCAAAAACATGTTGAATTTCAAATGAATCCGTTCCTATTACCCGCCTCACTGTATATAAATTACAAAATTATAATAAACAAAGAAATTACTTTACGGAAAAAGTGTGTGAATTGTAGAGAGGTCGTTTTCCCCCAATGGCTGATTGTTGTTAGCATGTATTTATGTATGAAAAACTTAAAATCAATTTTTTTCTCATTAATTCCAGGTTTGTTCTGGAGGTCCAGGCGGCCAAAAACTCTCAGCGGACCAATATCGAGCTTGCATCAGATCTCGAGCTTTAAACGAGGCGTCCCATGCCCAATTGGGTTTCTTGGCGTTTCGGGATGATATTGCGGCCAACAGCAGCCCAGTTAAGTATCCGGTTCATCCACTCAAGCCGATGAAAAGCTCATTTAGGAATAAGAATTTTATGAAATCAGGCGGTAAGTGACAGTAGGGGAAAAGGACAGTATCCTAAGGTGGCTTAGTTGAATTTGAAAGTATGGGAACATGGAGTAGGAATTCTAATATAGGTAGAAGAGGGCCTAACTGACCTTTCACGTACTTTGTTGGTGGCAGTATTTACATTTTTTTTCTATGAGGGTTTCTCGCCTAATTTTTTTCAGGTTCCCACAAATTTTTATTTTTTATGAACTTAAATTGCAATGATTAATGCATCTGATTGATGACTACATGTACGTGTTATTCTGATTGTTTCGTTAACTTTGATTGGAATTGCAGTTAAGAGTTGGCTCTAAACGATTGAGCGTTAGATATTGCAAGTGCCAACGTTTCATTTACGTACATTTTAACAATGTAAAAGCAACATTTACTTTTTGCGGGATATATTTTCAATCAAGCAATTGTTTAATCACAATCACATATTTAGATTAAACAATTTCAGCACTTTGAAAAAGTTTTGCCTTCATATGGCTCCGAATTTTTTTCCTGTTTACCTTTTTGTATTTCGAACTTTGGAATTAACGAAATATTTTAAAAGAAGTGTCGAACTGAAGCCTAAGTTTTGTTAGATAGGGATTATTCGATTAGTTGTGCAAAATCCTGGTTTTCAAAACAACACATAAATAAAACGATATACACGGTGTACCAGTGAAAATTTTTCACCACATTACTTTCGAGCTAAGTATTAGAAATTACCTGGACTCATCGATTTTGTTTTCGAAAGGGATAATTTAGTGTTAAAAGCACCGGGGCAACTCCGCGCATTTAGTTGACCAGATTATCTTTAATAATGCTCATATCAAAGGGTTTTTCGGTCTGATCATCACTACTATGTTTTACTAAGAGTTTTATCTTTTTCTGTGTAAAATCTCGAGTTTATCTTTAGACATATATCAATCAACGTTCCAGTGATTATCGTATTTTGCCGACAATAAGACGCACCTCAAATTTATAAAACGATTTTCAGAAAAATTTACTTTAATGTTACTTTTCGATTATAATTTTTTTGCGTGCGTTTTATTGCCCCTAAAAAACGCTATTGAATTAATTCTGCTTACAGAACAGAAACATTTATCAACATTTCGACTAAGATTGTTAAGAATTTTGAAGGTAATTAGGCACTAAGGCAGGCAGGCATTCTTTAATGGAAGTCCGGTTGAAATATTCCAGACATTGCGACTAAGTGGTATAATTGCTGGCTGCGTTTCCATTCAATGGATAGATCGCAGTGGATCTATTGATTGCTTTTTAATCACTTGGTTTTTTTGCTCATTTGCATTTTGCATCTCATTTGCCACTCAGTCGCAGTTTCTTCGAAAAAACTCGCGGAATATTGCATTGAAGAATGTCGCCTAATTGCCCTGGAAAGTCGTTTTTTGTTCGTGAAACTGCGGAATAACGTTTTTATTATTTGCGGAGCTGAGATATGGATATTGTGAACAAGATCAATTATTAATTAAACAATTAAGTACAAAACATTTTGTTCATCCGTAAATAAAGTTTTTATGTTCGGTATTTTCGGTAACAATTAACAATTATTTTTTTGCATCATGTGCAATTCATACTAGAATGCGCCTCGATCCAACACAAAATCGACACTACGCGTCACTTGAAATATTTTAAAACGTTGTTAAAAATTCGGATGTGACGTTTTCATTCGTACACCCTGTTATATGTAAACTTTATACTTTATAGTCAATGCATAGGAAATTTTTGTTGTTGTTATTAATGCTACGTCCTGATAGTGTCGAAATAAATATCCGAAACGTTGTCAGTTCAAATATCTACGCTGCATCATTTGAATCCAACATCAAATATAAACAGGGTGCTTTAAAAGTGATGACCTTCATTTTTAAGGAGTTTTGTAACTCATTTTGGAGAATGCCGGAAATGCAAAGAAAATAGTACAGTACAGATAGGGTTGTTCGAAGGACGATTTTGGGTTATTCCCGTATGAGAATACGACAGCAGACAAAAGCACCTAAATTGACAACTGTGAAACAATATTTCTAATCAGCCTTTAGCTTGTTTTCAATTACATATTCATTATCTTGAATTCGTAATTCTGATAACGTGCACTTAACACAGTTGAACTGAAATTATGTTTTAAAAGAAGCAGCATTTTTAGTCAAACCCGCCAATTTATAAAACAGATTAATGTTTCTCTTCATTAATTTATCTTCAATTGGATTGAACAAATGATAAATTATAAAACATTAAATTTGATCAATTGTGTCAATTACGTTTGCTAATTCATTTTATTGTTCGATAAAGGAAAATATCTTGCTTCAATATGCTACGTAACTATCAATAAATATTAATTTTCTCCTTATGTAAGCTTTAAGACAAAATAACTTGATAAAAGAATTTTTCTCTAGTTTTGAAAGACAACTCCAACATTTTGTGCAAAATAATTACGTTACTTCTGATGCACCCTGTTTACGTGAAAGTTTACCAGGGCTAAATGATATTGTAATTAGTATTGTGATAATATTATTATAAAAAAATGGTCTATTTGTTTAGAGTAACCAGACATAAGGCTAAGTATGGTTCATTAATAAACACTGAAGGTATTTGAGAGTTGTTTTCGCTCATAATAAAACCGAAGCATTCCTTATTATTAAGTTGAAAGAAAAATTAATTTTTAATATTTTACGACCGCGAATCGTTACTGGCATTGAATCAAATAGGCTTGATGCCATTGAATTTAGCAAACTGTTTATGTTGGTGTATAGAGACGAAAAGTGTTGAAAGAAGTTCCCTAAAGTGTGACATTATTAATATCATGTTTAGTATTAGATTGTAAATAACTTCATTGTCATTCCATTGATACCTAAGAACAAACTATAAACAAATCTGTACATATTTTAGAGAATGGACGTTAAATCATATAAAGTATTTTTCAGTTGATTAAATTAAAATAATTAACTAAATTTTCCGCTGAGGTACCAGCCATGACGGGCTGTGAAATAGCCGTAACTTGAGTTTATCAGATTAAAAAGTCGACATTAATTTTACGACAAGAGTTGCTTAAAATTACAACTTCCTATTTCATTTGCGGCGAATAAAAAAGGGTATGCGCTTTCAAAATATTATATTTTGTCTCCGCTGCAGAATTTCCACAGCATAATTTGCAAAGAAAGCTTATTGTTACAACTTATGAGCTATTTTCTGGGTTATTTTTCACCTAACTCAACCAGCTAACACCGACGCACACCAACGTAATAAGAAAAAAGTATATGAATTTTATCAGGTGCTATTTGATATTTTCGTACCTATATGACGACGAAGTTTCAGGGTAAAATTACCAAAAAATTTGTGGCTCTATCAAGTGTTTTAAATTTAACAGTCCAATCTGGAAAATTGAGAAATCTAGTTCAGCTGATGATGGCGCCGGAAATCCGAAACGTTGGATCAGATAACTGAAATAATGCCTTGTTAAGCCACACTATTAGAATTTAATTTGTGCAATACATAGGGTGATTTATCAGTGATGAAAATTTCATGTGTTGATGATGATACTGAAAGTATACAATCTGCTTTGCGCGATGGTTTACTTTTAGTATTTATAAATTTTCTGGTCAATAAGCACCAATTTATGTTCATTATTTTCCACCATTAAAAGCCATGTATATGTATACAGAGCAGGTTAATTATGGCACACAAAGTATGATTTTAGAAGATTCATGGCTGCTTGTTGCAATGCCTATCTATCTATCGTTATCTAAAGTTTGTATGAAATTTTGCATAACTTTTATACAATTCAGCCTTCTGTAAATTTAGCGCTGGTACCTACTTACATGCGGAAAAAATCAAACAATTATAAAAAAGCACATTTATTTTCCCTACTTTTAACAAAGTCTTGGTATCGCATTTTACTAGTCATGACTTCACATCCTTGTTATACGTTTATTTAAAAAGATCAAAAGTTTTAAATGTTTTATGCAAGCGTTGTTTTTGTTGCGTATATTTGTAAGACTGTTACGTGGCCACATCGAAGTAGATACTTACTGATAAAACCTACATCTAAGTATATATTAGAATTGATATTATTAGGGCTTTTTTAAAGAAAACCTCTGAAATCGACTTGTGGCCAATTTTAATAAATAAATATTTCCAAAAGTAAATTTGGTTTTAAAATAGTTTAAAATAATTTTGTTTGCAGAAATCGGAAAAACAATTACAGTGTCCGATAAACTTTGTACATTGTGATTAATTTATTTGCAATAACTTGTTAATTATTCTAAAAAAAATCAGAATGGTTTTGAGATTTGCTGCTATGTTTAATTACTTGCCTTATATCTTAATCCATCCTGCCCGACGAACTTCCCTGAGTAGGACTGGCAGTGTTTCCTTGGTCGCTTTCGTTCTTTCTGGGAGGATCAATTGTAGTGGACGAAGGTCGCCCGTAAAGATAACTGGTATATCTATATCCAGAATCGTATTCRTCYGACGGATATCTGGGCTTGTATCCGGAATTGTAGCCGGAACCGTAGTTGCTGCCATAACCAGATCCATAGTTTCCATATCCCGAACCACCAGATCCATAGTTTCCATAGCCCGAACCACCAGATCCACCATAACTGAAAAAAAAACACTTTCATTATTCTCTGGCTATGAAATATCCAGATATCTATGGCTATATGAGGTGCTCTTAAATTCCTGCATAAAAAATGGAATAACTTTTAAATTTATTTCATGGTTAATTKAAYGCAMTTTTCATCAGCTGAARRATGCARACGATTCGTRCGATTTCACTGCGTGCGATTTCAGCAAACGGTACTTARAAMTGGTTTCGAGAATCTRCCTGGTGCTTGTTTTAGGAAGWTWATTTTTTTAATACGCTCTCCCCTTTCCTGATTTTCAATTTTTTAGGCGCGCCGTCAGGCTTTGAACTGCAATATCAAYTTTCAGGTTCCATTATAAAGGCGTGATTTTTTTTAATGATTTAATCATTTAATTTGTGGATTCACGAAAAATATTAAAATTGATTTTTTGTAATTSGCTCATTAAGCCTAGGAAAAATATTTTTTGTAAGYAAATTATAACACGTTGCTGAAAAAGGCCRCTCTTTAGTATCCATGATAGACACTTTAATTTGGCAAATTACWGAAAATAATAAATAGAACATGCCCAGAGTRAGAAACCAGGGCATGACAACTAAAAAAATATCATACTCTAGTCTGCTGATTAGATTTTCTCAAAAGCSGGTCACTTTAGAGCAATAAACGAAGAGAATTAATTTTACGTAAAAATCTTGGTAAAAAACGCTGATGTTTCCAGTGGCATATAATTTAGGGGAAAAAATTCACACGATACTTTAACATCTCCGCCACTGGCAAACTCAATTAATTCTAGTAGAGTGCGAAAATGTMGCTATTAATGTGAACAAAAGCTCATTCATGTAGCTSAAAAAGTTTCTCAATTACTGGAAAAAATAGAAAACAATACATTCAAATATTGTCACCTTGTACTTCGAAACCGAAAGTTCGTAGAAAAATAGGAARGGRAAAATTTGTTTTCCTTTTCATGAATGAATTGAATCTACAGTTTTCCGCTGAACTTTTTAACATTTAACAGGAGAATAAAGTTTTATATAAACTGTAAGCACGGCTTTAAAAATTCCGGAGATATCTTACCGAGAATTCCATACAGACAGACCGTCAAAATTGTATTATAATCAGTTTGCTGATTTTTAAATGAACGTTTCATTTTATGTCTGGCATCTTGCTTTTCGTTAATTAAACGTTCTTGAATCTATGTTTATAGATATGTATTTAAATTTCATATTCTTTTATTTTTTATAAGATTTCTGAATTATTAAATACAGCCCAGCTTGCTGGTTTAGGTTTTCACGCAAAAGCAAATTTTTGTCTAAAGTTCTAGATGTACAGATTTTTTTAAATTAGTTAACGCTTTTGAGAACTTTCTTCCTATTGTACCTATTTGTAATTTTCATCATCGATATTAAATAAGCACATAAACAATTCATCTATTGTTTGACAAATCAAAGCCCAACTTCGGGCTACAGACAAAGACTGTAATACGTTTTTGCTGTGTCGATAAATCTGGAACGAGATCTAAAACTAGACTATTCTTTAGATCGATAAATGGCAATGTTTTATTCATATTTATATAAATACACCTAAACCCTTTTATTGAAGGCTCTGAATCATGTATATTTTTCATTTCAATAACTGTAATAATAATTGATTGTTCAAACAATGATTATTTTATTACAGCTGCGCTTCTGAGATTAGCTACTTGAGTATTATACTTAGTCCAAAAATTTACTATTTATTTTCATTACTCTCGTTTAATCACAATAAAGCGAAATTGGTGGAATTTTTCCACAATTTTATATACAGCTTGAAGAATATTTAATAATATTGTTTAACACTTTTTCGCATCGATCACTAGAAGAAGCGAAACCAATTTAAACTTTTCAAATATATCCCGAAAAGCCTAATAAATAGCCAATAATGGTTGAAGTATAAGAGGATAAGGGGATATCCATACGTTTTAACTAAATCCCGTTTTCTATATCCGAATTCCCGGACTCCGAACGGTGTTAGGGAAACTTTTAATTCATTTTACTTTGAATACTTAAATTTACAACATAAGCCGTTTAAAGTCTATTTGGTATTTACTGAGCGATCGGCTACCTGAGCCTCTTAAAGTGCTTTGCATGTCTGCAATAAGTCAAGGATTTTGATTCAGAGACCAACAAACTAATCTTCTTCATATGGTAAGTATTAGATAGTAATGTATAGGTAAAAACATGTTTTTCAGGTTGAAAATGCGATTTTTAAATCCGTGGGGCTGTGTATACTTTTTCAGCTTCAGATAAAAGCTCTTGGAAATGGTTTCCGGTTGACCTGAAAACTGTTTTTTTTTAATCAGCATACAATTTGTGCAATAGTCCAGTTATTAAAAACGATCGCGTGGCCAATTATTGCGTCCACCATAAACAATAACAGCACAGAAAGGCATGTGTTGGAAATAATTGGAACGCAACATCCTGTCGGAAATGAACAGACAGACATTCTGCATTTTTTCATGACTTTCATGCAGTCGCTGCATTGCGTATTTCCAAAAGTGTCACTTATCATACGAAAAACCGCCTGCTAACGATTAGTTGGCAGTGTGCATTCAAAAAAATTATAATTTGATTAGCGAAAAGTTCCATTAGCAATAAAATATAACTTTCGGTGGAGCTGAATAAAAGCCCTAGCGATTTCCTACTTAGATTCACGATTTTCCCACAAGTAGGACGTAAAATTTTAATTTTCCACCACAATTGCATTCCTCACATTGTACTTCCAACTTTGCACAGAGCTGAAATGAGATTGTACGGTACCAACACGTATATTGGAGGAAATTTATCGCTCAACTTTACGATCTTGCCCTTGCATCATTACTTCCCGTCATACATTTTAGATTTTTAATAAAAACGAACTAGTAATAAGGACAATTTCATTATGACTTCATGTTTTATACATATGGGGGTTACCACTTATGCTGGAAATTAAGTTCGCCTTAATTACAATTTTGAAAAGTGGAAAATTGAGGATCAATTAGTTCAAAAATTGTGGGCCAATTGCTAAGCATTCACAAGGTTTTAATATGGAGGAATAGGTTTTCGAAGTTTGATATTTGGAGAATTTGCAGGTATCCAATTTAACTTTTCGATGATTTTAGTATAATTTAAGCCTGATACAACAAAATTCATTAAAAAACTCAACAATTTATTGAAAGTCGACTGAAGTGTATTTTATGAATTATTGCGTATTTTATATCAAGCGTCTAAAATGTCTAATACTTAAGTGGAATAATAATATTCAAGGTCTAATAATCAAGGAGAGTGCGATATTTATGAATCTAAGTTTGGAATTTGATGAAGATCCCTTTAAATATTTTAACACTGATATTTGAAGGTTTTTAAAATTTAATCATTAAATTAATAATTTAAAATAAGATCGTATGCCCTTTCGTTGTCTTCAAAGCTTGAAGTTGATTAGAAGATCGAGTGAAATAGATTTGGGATACCAAGCAAAAAAAATATGATTACGCTAATAGATACAAATCCCAAGAAAAAAATAATTCTAAAGCTAAATAATACACAAGGTAAAACTTACGTGGTCTCTATCGTTAATTATTAACACTCCATAAAAATGTTCTCCTATCGATCAACCCAAACAATTAGTTTGGAGACATAAGAGTTCATAACTTTCTTTCAATTTTACCTGTTCAATTTATTTTTTTAAGTTTATATCTTGATTAATCCTTTGTTTTGGATTTGTCAAACTTTTGTATTTTCAAATTGAGTTGCGAAAAAATACACGTTATTCGATCTTCCAAATCTTATCAAACGAACCCATTTTGCGGACATTTTTTGAAACTACTGAGTGTTTCGTCTGGATTTTTGCGCCGTCGTGAATTAGAGTTCCTGGCGTTTCGCAAGCACAAATGGCTTGCATCTTCAGACCCTTGCTTCCAAAACGTCAAGAAAATTGTAGCAAACGAAGAGTTTCTATGATGAGAAGTTGCAATCGGCTGAAAAAAGTTATTTCCAGGGCGGGAGATTTGTGGACAAAGCATGGTTTTGTAAATATAGCAAAGTAAAGCAACAATTAAAAAATGAATCAGGCCCGTTTATAACTGATTGTTCGTTTAAAAATTAACTTCTGAGAAACTGCGCTCGGAATAAACTATTCTAAACTAACTAAACTCTGATTCAACTAAACAAGCCATGTAAGGTTTTCCAAAAGATATATTCAGTAATAATTAGTCACTAAAATTGAGCAATCGTTAAAGGCATTAATTACATAAATAATTAGAGAAAAATGCAAAAGAAACCCCACAGAAGTACTAGAAAGCAATTGCCTCTGGACAAAATATTACAAATAATATGGACGTTTCTCAAATAACATCAAGACTGCATTGACTATTTGCATATTTATAGCTATTTTCAATAACAATCTTTCAATTGTTAGTCTTTTTTCTTGACCTTTTAGAAATCAATCGCAACCGCCCTTTTCTGCCTGATGTAGGTCGAAAGGTCGCTTTTATTACACCAACACAATCAGTCTTGATTGAGGAAACAGAAAAATCAACATAAATCGGCTTCCCTCGAGAAATTTATTGCTCAATAAATAGGCATTTGTTGTTAACTTTATGTTGCAAAACTGGCATATCGGATAATTGGCCGCTTCAAGGTGAACAAAGATAGATAATCGGCCCATTTGAAAAATTCGTCTCCTTTGTCTGCTTTTAATTAAACAGTTCCAATATTTGTTTTCCGCTTTAAATTAACGACCGGCTATGTAAATTTGTTATATTCTAAATAACATATGCCATACAGGGTCATTCAAATTTCCTCTCTTTAATTTATATCTTCTGTATAAGCGCTTTTTTTCTCAAATTGGTGAAACATGCAACTTGTCCATGGAGTAAGGTTGTTTCCAGATATGAATTTTATGCGGTACATATGGATAACCCCATATATTTTGCGATCCGTTCACAGGGGAAGCTGGTCGAGTAATCCGGCAAACGGCTAAAACTTCTAAATATTTGGAAACTT